ACACCCGATGTTGCGCGCTTTACGCGGAGGCACAGGATTACGATGTCAGGCCATTGGAGGAATTAGTAGATTAGGTGAAACGGGGACGGGAAGAGTATGTGCAAGGGATGTAGAAAGGAGGCTTCAGCGGTTGTAAGCAGCAGATAAGGCAACCCTTTTCTTAGTGTTACTGCGCAACGGTCGATGTAGTGTGGGATTAGCTGTATTAGCGTGATTCATGGTTAGTTATGGACTGACAGGGCGTCCACAACTGAATAGGAGAATGACTCGAGTCCTCAGCTAAATCCTTCGATAAAATGTACATCCGAGAGCCAACAGGCCGTGCGTCATGAGTCTGTGAACCGACTCACGCGGGATTGTGTGTCCTGGCTGTTAACTAGAATAAGAGTGTAACCCAACTCCCACCCAGCGGTCACCACGAAGCGTCTAAGACATGAGTTCACGGCACAACATTGGGAGCAGCGGGTAAACAATCTGTCAGGATCTATAAACCACAAGCCTGACAAAAAGTCAGAAGTTACAGACAGGATCTCAACCGCAAGAATGGCACTGTCATTTGAATTTCTGCAGTGTCATCAAAAGTATTGAACCAGTGACGAGGCGGAAAAAAGTTTTCAGTCAACTACTTCGTGATTCTTCGTCAAATCAGCCACTGAGAAGGGCAGCACGCCATCGAAAAGGTGCAGTATCCATCATCAACATCAATGGGGATGAGATGAAAGCCGCTGAAGCATAACAGGCAATCCAGTGGGGCGCCAAAGGATGTGTTATCAAACGCCTTTCAGCAGCCGTAAACGGCATTCATTCACTGCCTCCACGAAACATGAGTAGTGGTGTGTATAATGTCGGCGGTCACAGACAGGCATCCCCAGACAGTAACCACGGGTATTCTGTAGGTTAAATGCGGCTGTTCACCGACATGGTGGATTCCCTTAGAAGCCACACAGGCTTTGCAGATAGATGTGATAAAAGTGACTTGGAATCGGTCAGCCGGCCGATACAACTACCAAGAAAAGCGGACCGATCGTACAGTTAGAGTGGCCGCTCAAAAACAGAGGGATCGTGGCACGTAGACAAAGATCCCCGAGAGATCACGTTTTGAAGAGGCAAAGCAAGCATCGAGGCGTGCATTGCTTGGCCTCAACCTAGTCGGTAGTGTAAGCATAGTTGGTAGGCTAGATTGCGAAGATGGCATAACGCTGGTGTGCTCAGTGTTTATCTACGAAGCACTTATGGGAACCATAGGCAGAGAAGAAGCAAAAACACGGGCATTCATCAGCGCCACATAGGAACATTGTGCGCAACAGTAGGTTGATCAGACAAAACAGATGCATCATATTCTTCGTTAACACTAAGATAACATAGGTACATAACACGAAGCTTCTTGCGGTCAGAAAAAAGTAGTCTTACCAATTGCGAACCGGTAAGATCCACGCACAATACAATCGTTGTTCGACATTATTCCCATGGGTAGGCTGGCGTTGGCCTGTCGGAAAGAGTGTGGGGAAAGTGGAAAACTATGAGGCAAAGCAGCCCAAATAAGTGTTGAAAAACCCAAGACAAATAAACAGATAATCCCGGAAGGAAAAGAAGGCAATCTGCAGCTCAACTGAGGCGATGAACTAAACTTAAGCTTTGGACAGATTCATAGTGGCCAGATTCGGTGGAGCGACCGTCATGAACGAATGATTTTGTTGAACTGCACACATACCCAGGATCAGTAATAATTTCCAACATTTGGTAAACATTCAAGGGAACTGGTAACTTCGAGGGCCAATTCCGTCTTCTGCATGGCAGTAACGCGTAAGGCAGTGAAGAATGAGCAGCGCAACATCTCAGCTAATAGATAGTCATAGTGATCCATCGTCGTTACTCATAGACTATTGGCATAAACCGCTGAGTTCCAAACACATGGGTAATGTGTTCCGTTCCCGGAGAGGCCGGCAGAACGCATGCTACTGACGAAACGGCCGAGTAACAATATTTCGAATATGTGGTGACCATTGGCATGGCTTTTAGGAATCTCAAGATAATCCAAACCTCCTTTGTTACGTATTAATAACCTCAAGCGGTATTTTACATTTGTATTTTTTAGCGTCATAGTCGCATGGCTCGGATCAACCGAACCTAACACGCCTTAGTCGGGAACATCAGTCCCAAGAGTTAAAAATGAGCAAACACTCGCCACACACCACTCTCTTCCACAGGGCGTCCACCCACAACTTATGCCTGAATGGAGTCAAGTGACCGGACTTATAAACCAAACTGTTCACTTCCGGTACATCTGTTCTGCATGGACTGCGCTATAGCCAGCAAACCATATCTCTGAACCACGCAATGGGTCATCACATTCAACCGAAGAAAGCTCAACAGCACCATATCTGGGTATGGGGAAGAGTTCAGAATATGAACTACAGGTTAGACAGCGCAAATCCCACAGAACTATCAATTGTAGGTAGACATTAAGCTAATGAAATAGGTGGTTCGAAAACTAAAAAAAATCAAGGTGTTAGAGGCCGTTAAATCCGTTATAGTCCTAACTAATACAACTGAATTTCAGCAAAACAAAGTGGAACACCGAAACAAAAAGTATTGAAGAGAAAAGCAAAAATTACGAATGAACTTATAGGAAGCAAAAGTGTGAAAGCCACCAACAAATGAGATTAGCGAAAAATTCATGTTACACAAAAAATCATGGTGTGCACAACATCCGGCAACTAACAACGTACCACGGTTGCCAAGCGATCAAGGTAGCGATAATGCTTGAAATCGCGCGATAAGTTGATAGCTATATTGAGCAGGTTCCAGTACTGATTGCAGTGCGACCACTGAAGAAAAACAGATGGATTTCAGGGGATGGCACGAGAAAACGGCAATTTATTCATAAATTCACATAGGGGCATTCTTTCTATCCACCTCGCTATTAAATAACCTAATAAAGCAGTTCATGATTAGTTGAATCTCCAAAAAACCCTTTCCACATGATTTTGAACTGGAGAAGTCTCTAAAAGCACGCTAATCGAGTAAAAGGATCAACTTATCTTGGTAAAAAGAACGGTAGATACAAATCACTGGGTAATGTCACCGAAAATTTACCCAGAACGCATTTTACACAGATGAACTGCGTGCCAGAGCGGCGTATGTAATGCAACGCCGGCTTATGACAACATAAAATCCAGAAGCCATTACACATCATAAGCATTATGTTGACGATTACGCAAGTTAACGCAGTGCTATGAGTTGGTCTGGGTGGCAGGGGAACAGCATTGAATAGCGAGGTCGACAAGCCTCATTAAGTTGATTGCGGCTGAAGGCTTGTTCGCATTAACGCATGATGTTCACCAAGTTCACTGTGCAGTTTCGATCCACAGCGAACTACACCATATTTTCCCCTTAAGGCCAGGAATAAACGGGTTAAGTACGGAAGATGAAATCATGCTTTTGCTCGGTGCAGTCTACCAGGTTACGCTTTGGATAACAGTTTTCGTGTAGAAAGTACATCGCAATAGCCATCAACTCGACATGAGGACAGCATGTTTTCATGGGCAGTTTCGCTTATCAGAAACCTTTGGAATAACAGTGTGTTTGCTTTGTAGGAAACACCAATCGGCCTGGTGAAAAAGAAGCTCCGTAATTATGTTAGTTGTATACGCTACTCTCAAGTTTAGGCGGATAGTGCCAGCGAAGATTCAATGACATGATCCAAGATGGATCACACATAATAAAAAGACGATTATCTAAAGAGTGAAAGAAGATGCGAGTGTTCCATAATAGAGGAAATCATATTACATGAAAACTCCATGGATGAAGAGAAAGAAACGTAGTTCGCAGAGCATGGTGAGGGCTTTCCTAACAGTGGGCCGGGACCTTCTTTCGGTAGGCAATCGAGGGAAACGGCTACTGCGATTCCAGACAAAAGAAGTCGACAGCGAAGCCGTGCCAGAGGTAACCAAATTCGGTGCGACATCGCCCAATACTGTAGGTGATGCCACGCAAGGTATCGTCAGATGGTAAGTTCTCACTGATACGCTCCAAGAAGACGATGTTCCGCAATTCACCTATTGGTCGGTAGGATTTCACGCACTCTGGAATGGCCAAGTAACCTTATGATTTCCACGTATTCACTGAGTGTTGTTATCACGGTGATTCGAATCGAGGCCATTTGGAGCACATCAATTGACAACCGTGTTCTAGATTATTAAAAGAACTGCACTGAATGTTTGGTTGGCAACTACAAACGAGTATTGTGATGGAACAGGATCATTAAAGACAATATTTAGGCGTCCACGATCGTGTAATAGAGAGAAGCCAAGTGAGAGCGTCGCTGTATATCTGGAGTGTGGCAGCGAGCCCCTGACAAACCAGTGACCCTAAGTCGCTAGGGGGTAGTCATTGATCTAACATCTGGACGTGCCCTGGCGATGACCGTTGAATGGGCCCGACTTATGGACTGGCACGTCAGAGAGGACAGTTTGCGAAGACACAACTGCAACGTGAACACTGTGACCTTGCCGACAACGTCAGTAGCTGAACAACTTGTTGTTAACACCGAGAGTGAGTCATTAAAATGGTTCGTAACATTACCTCAACAGGCGCGATGCCCAGTGTGCCACAGTCTAAAGACGTATATGTATCATATTCCAAACTTGTTAAGGTGGGTATTCTGCGCCGTAAAGGTTGCAAGCGTTTCCATACGAAATGCCTCCGTGTTAAATCTACACCTTTTGCCGACTGATTGTATTCATAGTGCTAATTGAATTGCTTCTTAAGGCTCTAATTTGCATCTGCAATCCGATTGAACATAGACATTAGTGCAACTGAATTGCTTCCGATATCATTACTACGCACCAAGCGCGCGCAGTGACCTTGGTATTGAGCTAGCCCAAAGCAGCCAATGACGGTAGACTTAATAACCCTTGCATGGATGTATGAGATGGTAGTGTGTGATGTTGATGCGTGGGCGGCCTAACATGCATTCAGCAACGATGCCTAATCTGAAGCTAGTTCCACGCAGCTTAGGGGCACAAGGTTGTCCAAACACCTGATGCGACTGGGTATAAGTGGACTACCATGTACGTAAAGGCATGCCTTGCGAACGGCACCAGTTGGGGTGGGGGCTGCGAACACGGTAATGCGACACCCCATTAGCGATCTTATGGCTAGTTTTGCACTGGCGCAGCCCAAGGTTTTAGACAAGCTACGAACGCTAGGACATACGACGGTACTGTGTCCGGATAAGAAGGCAGTCAGAGCTGCATGGCTGCGAATGACCATGGGCGGTGTGACGGGTTTGCGAGCAGAGGTCTGCTGAGAGGGCCACTGCCGAAATACGGCTGTGTCAATTTTGTTGCAAGGCGAGTAGACCATGCTTTGTTACAGCAGTCCTCGCTTACCGTCATAGTGGATGTAGTACACCGACTTGCTGGTCCCTGAATAAAATGTGATATTGCGACCGGGCTGTTGGCAGTTTGCATCGCCTGAGTTGTCTGTCTGGCCATTTCACCGGCTGTTCTCCAGCAAACGTACTTGGCCGACACAGCATTTCGGTGAACAACACATCCTTCCTACGGTAGTTCTACCTGCAAATCCCATAGTTCCGCGAGGTCGATAACACTCAATTCCCTATCTAACGGTCTGTGAACACGTAATCCACAATCAAAGATGGCAGTACAATAGCATATCATGGGTCAAATAGATAACGTTTCACACGACACGTAGGATAGTCGTAATGAACAGAGGAAGATTAAGCAACGAACGTACTAATGAAATGGAGTGTGACTTGGTGATTTAGCAGAGACATTTGCATGATAACCGGTAGACATCCATTTAGTTGCAACTAATCGCTCGCCATAATTTACATCTTCGGTACGAAGCGGGAAATTCGAGAACATAATTTTATACATTAAATCGGCTTTATAATTCCAAAAATAACTTCAGAAGAGGAAGGTTCCTGGATGACACTGTTAGGATGACCTACCAACGCTCTGGCAGATTCAGTGTGTTCGGATATCAAGATAGTCACAGGTGTATGACTGCGAATAATTGGGGTCTGGGATACGAAATGTTATGGCGTGTTTGTTAGTAAAGCGACAAAAGTGGCCTGCGCAACTTGCCCCTGAACTCTAGGTTGAAAGGTGGCCACATGGGTAAGAGAGAAACATCATGGGCGGAACTCTGCTGAGATGGCTAATACCGTGATACGACTGTGACATTCTTGTTTTTAGGCGTGTATGTAGCGAAAGATCTGTGTACCGTAAGCCGAGCGCAGTACCCTATATCAACCAGCCCAAACTTAATGGGAAGCAGTTAGTTCCCTTCAACAATTCGAAAAGCACGGAAAGAAGATGAAGGCTGGTAGATGCATGCATTTCGTATTGTCTCCTCAGTACCATTAACAATAACCGATATGCATGGATATAGCTAACAGTGGGTACAACCAGACAAGCTTAAGATTGCCTACCCTCGTCAGATTCCATGTTCGCGCAGACCGCCGGCTTCCTCGATAGGCAAACACCTATTAGACTCGGGTCACCAATTAGAGCTGGGCTCAGCGTTTAAAGTTGCGTTACGTCACACTAATCCCCGCTTCCTTCGGTTTGCTGAGGCTGTCGCAATAAGCCGGATAAAGCCAGCTTTGTGTGTTCAAAAACAATTATTTGTCAGCCTAAAGCTGCCTTGGACGTAGGTGTGAACTTCCGTCATTCGTTTTGCACCTTAAGCTTGTCTGGTTGCACCCACTGTTAGCTATATCTATGCATATCGGTTATTGTTAATGGTACTGAGGAGACAATACGAAACGCATGCATCTACCAGCCTTCGTCTTCTTTCCGTGCTTTTAATGGGAAGCATTGCATTTGCCATCGGGTGCTTACACTGAAGGGATAAATGTGACGCATTGGTGGTTAATGTGTAGGAGATCGCGATACCAAATACTTTGGTCGCTTGAGTGGATTGAGTGCTCTGAAAGCTGCACCACTAGTAATTAGCGGACGACTCATGATACACCGCATACATTGGCACAACTTCTGTAGCGAACGCAGTCGACCGCATAGGCATCTAAAAATGTTCATAATACGCGACAAACAGCAATTTCGCATCCTGAGATGGATCAGTGGCTTACATACCACCGTTGTCTTAGCGTATCTCATAGTGTGTCTTCACGCGGCGATATGTAACACACGGCACTATGCAACTTCGACACTTCCGCAATAATGCTTAACCGAACGAGCAATAGAATGAATCTTCCTTTTCTCCGCGTGGTAGTGCTCTTCGTGATACCCACTACGTAACATGAACTCGTGACGCAACAGTACGTAACAACCCATGACCTCTCATCATTACCAGCAATGTAATCCTGATTGCCAGGAATCATGCGGATACCCTCTGGTGGTCTCGCAACGCCTAACGCGAAAACAGCCGGGAACTAGCTGCGAAAGCACTTAGCCTGAACATCACGCTAATACCAGCATGTCGAATCAATAGCCTTGTGATGCAGAACACTGGAAACCAAGTTCCAATCATATATGTTTATATTAACAAAAGGGGAACAATATACAAATCAGTACAATGCATTTCGAGAGCCTCATTCCTCCTCACATAATCCATCATGTGCCGGCAGTGGTGAGACTTCACGCAGGCTCGTATGTACATAGGTACGTAACACGCGGCTCAGCCATCGGAGGCTGTAGCGTTGTCTAACGGTGCTGAGCGATCCAATCGCATCTTCGTGCAACAACTGCAAGACAGTGAAGGTGCACATTGTTCAAATGCGTGCTAAAAAGTGAAGTCAGCGATGATCGAATTTACCTAGCCTCTTAACGTCTATCAA